CCCACAGACAACACCCAAATGTCGAAACACTTTCCACTTTAGAAATGAGAAGAGCGCTCCTGACATTTGAGCGCCACCCCATGGACAGCAACCACCACCTTGAGCAGCTGCAGCGTTCTCTCAATCGGCTACCCTCAAAACCTTGGCAGCACTTCTTCCAAGGAACAAAAAGTGTCCCCAGAGTTTGAGTGGAGCAGGTTGAGATCTGAACGGTGCTGTGCAAGTAACCTGTAGAAAAGCTGTTAGGAATCTTAATTATTGTGTAAGGCCTGATAAACAGAAACAAGTTAAAGTTAACGCCAAGCATGGTAGACACCTTTTAATCCCAGCACTGTGGGGTTAAAGAGGGGAAGCCTAAACTGATTTACACACAAACCTTCCCCACTGAAAAGCCAAATTATGTTTAGGCATATCTTTGACCCTTCTCTGACTGTCCACTAGCCTGGCCTTGTACTCAGAATCCAACAGATTTGGATTTTGTACCCCCTCATTTCCTAATGGACCTATTAACACTAGCTATTTAAAGTGTAAATGGTTTCACTGTGGTGGTGGCAGAGGCAGGTGGATCAAAGCTACAGAGAAACCCTGTCTTGAAAATCCAAAATGTGGAAAAAAACAAACAGGCTTTGGATGTGCACACCTTTAATCCCAGCTTTCAGGAGGCAGAGGTGGTGGATCTGAGTTCTAGGTTAGCCTGATCTAAAGAGCTAGTTCCAGTACAGCCTCCAAAGCCTCAGAGAAACCCTCCCCCAAAAGCCCAAAAAAACCCCTTTCCAAAAAAAAAAAAAAAAAAAAAAACAAGAAAAAAGAAAAACCAAAGTGGGGAAAAGATATATGGCAGGTCCTGCCCAGTTGGGTCTTCCCAACCCCACCCTGCTTTACAACTGTTTACCAGGGTAGGGACCTTATTTATGTGAAGCATCACAAGTTTCTTCATCAGTGAAGTGTCCAGTGGAAAGGAATTCACCTCCAGCCCCCAGATAAGGGAAACTCCATGCTCCAATGGGGTTTCCAGGCCCCTGGTGCAGACAGACAACAATGGATGCA